TTACCTTTATGTCAGCATTGTCGGGCGCTTTGGTAACAGGATCCAGAGTTGCATTTAGTAATCTTCTTGATTTGGAGAATGTTATCCTCAACAATCCTGAGAATTTACAGAGTTTAATAAGAGCTTATTACCCTACCAACAACTTCCCATCTCTTTGGATTAAAGTTGTGTACAACATTGATAAACCTATTGCTAATGAATCTTCACTCTCTGTTACTGACAAGAATGAAAGTTTTGTATTCTACTGGTCTAATTCTCCCCTGCTACTGTATTTCCATCCTTTGATGCTGCAAGGAATCTCCTTACAATTTTTCAATCAAGACTACACTAGCCATGAAGCACAAATTGATATTCCTTCATTTTGTGCTGGTTTCAATAGGCAAGGAAAAATTGAACTTTTGAATGATATCACAATATGGGTTTGTTCATGCAGTATTACTTACATGTAGATCTAGATCTATGCTTACACAAGTTAATTTGCATGTTTATGTTATGCCATTGTTCAGTCATATGCTACTATGATTGTCATTTTTGATATTTATATAGTTGAGGTCTTATGCATCAGAGAGAAGTATCAAAATTGCTCTTGAAGGCTACTGTACATTTGAAGAAGATGCTGGCACTTTGAAAATTTTAACTATACGTGGACAATTTAACCTATTCAATCTGATAGGGCTTTCTGTAATATGGTTTGTAATTTTTTCTCAATTGGCTACCTTTGGTTTTTTCTGGAAGAAATATGATTCTATTCAAAGGACTATAACACTTGATTTTGATTACCAATGCAAATCTCAGCGCCTTCACTTTAAAAGTATTTTTTGGGCAGCTGTCATAGTTGATGGTATGTGCAGTATCATAATACTAGCACTGGACTTTGCTAATTTCTTACAGTATGCACAGTTGTATAAAGATGCCATTCCACTATCTATCTCACTTTTATGCGTCCTAATCTTCTTAATTACAATCAATGCTGCATTTTCAATGTTTCTGACCATCAAGTATTATCGTAAAAATAAAATGATCGCCCTTCCTAAACTGATCTGCTGTATTGAAAAGAAGAGATGTATTCAGTTCTTTGTTCAGCTTGTTTTTTTAACCATTTTGACCCTCTCAAGCACTCTTTACAGTTTTCATATATCTGGGATTATAATTGGTATGTTAGTAAACCCAACAGAAGTGATGAGCAAAGTGATCTTAATCATGGTGACAATCATCATATTTTTCTTTATTGTTGCGTATATCATTGAAAAATATGAGACTGGTGAAATCAATTTGTTTAGCTTGGCTTATATGATTCTTCTTACAATACTGTTTGTAACATTGTGTGTCCAATTCACCATTTCTTATGCTAACACTGTGCTTTTTGTATCTCTTCAGAACTATGATGTAGTGAACATACTAAGCCAAGTATTTCCCATTTTCATAGCAGGTTTTGTTTTTAAATGGGTTGCCATGGAATATAAGCATTATCGTGCTACCATTAATAAAGTGAATGCAAAAGAGCAGGAAACAAACAAGCTGTTTATTAAAGCCAAGAACAGAAGCAAAGAGGATATAGTAGTACAACACACTGACCATAATTTGGCAATCAGCAAGCAAATGGAGCCAAGTGTGACTTTGAACTTTTATATGTCTTAGATGTAGCAAACAGCTTATTAACATTCATCTAATTGTAATTTTTCAATGTTTGATTTGTTTACAAAATACTTTTTTCCTATTGGATAGTAAATATTAAGTAATAAGATTTATCAATTGAAAGGAGAATGACTATAGATCTACAGGTTAAAATACTTGTAGATTTTGATCAATGTTCTTATTAAGATTAAGTACATAACGCATATCATTGCTCCATAAATAAACTCTGACTGTGCATGCACAGTGGTTACAATGCCTTTCTTCAATCCCAGTGCAACAGAAACTTCAAACAACTATACAAGTTGCTGATTGGGGATCAGCTATACCAGGGCAGGGCTAATTTTACTCTTCAAACAAAAGATTCAGAGAAAGTAAAGTTGCCATTGAATAGGTTAATCACGTTCTGGTTCATCATAATGGTCCACTAAAGAGTATTTGAAACCCAGGCTCAGCTTCAGTAACACAAAAACTCAAATTCCCTTTAGCCTACAGAAGACCAGCCATTTGTGCCATGTGTGGTCACGTGGTTTTAATATACGGAATCCGTTGTTTGACTTGTTTCATCATATACCATATATGGCCACACAGTAATGATTGAGGTAATTATTAGTTAACTTCGAGTCTTCGACTGTAAGTGAAAATTAAATGTTATTCTATTCTCTCTGTTTCTTGTTTCTTTATGTAGCATTTCTACTGATGAATGTTTCTTTAATACCAAACAGTGGAACACATAATTAAAATTAGTAGGTGAAAGGGGGGACAGTATCAGTGTTTGACAGTATCCGTGATAGTTATTAATGTGCTGTATGCATAATTAGATATTTACATTACATTTCAATTATATATAGAGTATGGTGAGTGTATGTATAGGAGGAAATTTTTGGTGGGAGTCAAATTTGGCAAATTGTTAAATTTTGGTGATTGGTGGATTTTAATTTAACGAATTAGTGGCCATGTACCATTAAGCATGCACATTATTACTCAAAATGACGGATTTTAATTTTGCCGAATGGCTATCAAAATGCCAAATTCGCTAAATTTAATTCCCTTCAAAATTTCCTATTATATGGTATATGAATACTGTACAGTATAGTTATATGGTGACTTTTAACTATTAATCTTTATCAGATCTGAACCATATAATTTTTAAATTTGTCTATAACATGCAGATGTAGCTAATAGAGTATTTTCCTGCTTTTTTACGAATTACATGTACATGTCCAGTGTGTGAGTTAAATGTCTCTCTATAATAATGAGGTTTTATGACTAAATTTTTCACTGTAAATAACAGAGTATAAGATTAACATCCCAAGTGTTAAAAATAAAACATTGTCATGACATCTAGTCCAAGAGTGCTTACTGTATACTTCAGTTTCTATTTTTAACAATGGTTTTTCTACTTAGGAAAGCAGCAGCCATGCAAGAAAAACCAACAGAAGGAAAGTTTTAGAGGATTGGCAAAGTAGAAATGCTTAATCTAATCTCCCAATATCAATAGGAGTGAATTAAAACTATCTTGAGGATGAGAAGCCAGTCTCTAGGGCGTCATTAACAATGCATTAGTAAGAAAACGAAATAACGAGGAAAATGGTAACAATAATGGAAAAGAATGACAATTAATATCAATTTATATTATTGTTTCTTAGTATCTAACTGTTAATTGTGCCAAAAGATTATTTTAAACGTCGAAAATTTTTTATTACTATGCATGACGTGTGATTTTTGACACTTACATCATGTTGCATCACAAAAGACAGAGGATAAGGTGCTACTCATATTGTTTATTGTGATGGCTCTTCTTTTCATTGTTACCTTTATGTCAGCATTGTCGGGCGCTTTGGTAACAGGATCCAGAGTTTGCATTAGTAATCTTCTTGATTTGGAGAATGTTATCCTCAACAATCCTGAGAATTTACAGAGTTTAATAAGAGCTTATTACCCTACCAACAACTTCCCATCTCTTTGGATTAAAGTTGTGTACAACATTGATAAACCTATTGCTAATGAATCTTCACTCTCTGTTACTGACAAGAATGAAAGTTTTGTATTCTACTGGTCTAATTCTCCCCTGCTACTGTATTTCCATCCTTTGATGCTGCAAGGAATCTCCTTACAATTTTCAATCAAGACTACACTAG